ATAGATAGATAGATAGAGAGAGAGAGATAGATAGATAGATAGATAGATAGATAGATAGATAGAAAGATAGATAGATAGAATAAGCGGGATTTATTATGTTGTTCATAGGGCATGCAGATGAATTAGGGTTGAGCAAGGAGAAAAAAACCCAGCAACCTTAAACAAAAGCAACAACAACAGCAAACAAACAAACCGGCGAGGAAATGGAATGTGCATATGATCTGATTGTACACAAAAAACATTATTCTTTAGCAACCATTGAAAGGGTGTTTCCAGCGTTCCAGCGAGGCATGGAATATTGCCAACCTCAGCAAATGGTTGTAGAAAGAGGAGGAGGCACTACAATGATACAGTATGGTGGAGAATAGGCTTAAATGAAACTATTCAATTCATGTGTAAAAAAAAAAGGACACAAAACCCCACAAAAAGAACGCATCATGGCACACATTTATTAATAAAGTTAGGATTATAGTTTATTATATTATACCATGTATTGATTTCTTGGCCCTTGTTAAAAAGCTAAACTTGATGACAGAATTTATCTTTTTGTGTCACAAGTGCATAAAAACCCCCAAACCCATCCCTTATCCGAAATACAAACACAATACAAATGTACATCCTATAAATACCTATCGAGTCATAATGATTACCATCAAGACATTTGAGATTATAGCAGGCCTAGACCTATGTATACAGATGCAATAAATATGAGTGAGCCCAGCAATCTAACAAGTTAGAAGTTTTTCTTCCCATGCCTCAAAAATGTGTATGTGTGTGTGTGTGTGTGTGTGTGTGTGAGAGAGAGAGAGAGAGAGAGAGAGAGAGAGAGAGAGAGAGAGAGAGAGAGAGAGAGATGAGGAGAGGAGAGGAAGCGATGTATTGACTGATATAGAATTACGATTTTACTCGTAACGAACACGTTGTCATATGTACACAAACACACAAAAACACGCACAAACATAAAACAAAACAGCCAACAAAACACGCGTACATACTTACCAACCCACTGTCCAGCGTTCAAAACGAAGCTTATCAGAGATTACTCATAGATGGACAAACTGCGCGCGAGATATCGGCCTCGTCTTAGCTCTTACATCTCCCACACAAAACCCCGAACTGGCTGGCGGCTTGTGCACAACATCAAAGAGACGTGTATCAATAACAAACAATATCAACTGTATCATAAGCATTTCACCCGACTGGCCGGAGAGATAGCCTGCCTCACTGATGATGAACACGACGCCAGTTCAAACCCTGGTTTGCCGGGTGAGAACAGAGAGCTTACCCACTGATCAACACTATCGTAATACACAATGTACGTAGTATAAGCTTACAGGACATTGTGCGTGTATTGGTTGGATTGAAACTACTGAAGAAACGGGTCACGGGAAAAGACAATAATTTGTCCGATAGGAAAGAACTTGAGAAAACCCAGCCAGAGCACCCGCCCGCCAACCACCGATAAATAGATGTTTGAAATCTGATGACGAGCTGGGCTTCTCTGGAGGGACAATCTTAGAGTCAAAGTGTTACAACTAGGGACGTGAAACTCTTACCCAGGTCCAAAGAGACGCAAACACTGCTATTGACTTGGTAAAAAAAGACTAAACCAAAACAAAACAAAACCAACCCCCCCCCCCCCCCCCCCCCACACACACAAACAAGCAATCCCCCCCCCAAAAAAAAACCCCAAAAAAAACCCCAACAAAACAACAAAACAAAATAAAACAACAAACTAAAATACCCCCAGATGTAGAAAAGTCCACTGGTGCTGAAGGCTGCAGCATGGTTCATTCACTTGTTGTCAACTCAAAGAAGACACTATTGAAATGTACTACGCTTTTTAACCGCACATCATACCGTTGGGTTTTGTGATTTGTTTTCTTTCTTTCCTTTAAAAAAAAACCTCCCAACTCGGTTCGTTCAACAACAAAGCCAGAG